GCTCTCCAGCAGACTCTGCGTCTGTTTTCGGATAGCCAACCTTCTCAGTTGGCCGGGTCCACCCTCATTTCCAAGGTGGATAGCAAAGTCTTACACGACGCCTTTAAGAAAGGGCGGTCTTCCAACACCCTCATGCATGAGATTATTACTGATCTGTTCTGGTTGCAAGTGCGACGCGATTTCACGCTGAAATTGAAGTGGGTGAGCTCCGAGGAAAACGCTGAGGCTGATGGTATTTCTAGACCAGGATCGGACGATTTTGTGAGACTAGATGAGCGGATGTTCGGCGACCTATGCGCGTGGGCGGGTGAGCAGGTGACCATGGATTTTAATGGCCACACCCGCCTCGGTTCACAAGCGCTGGGTAGATGGGCGCTGCACTAGTGAGGATCTGCCATTTTACTCCAGATACCATACACAAGGGTGTGCCGGGGTTGACGTGCTTACGCAAAATGTTCGGTTCATGCCTGGTTCAACGACGGAGGAGTGTTTCGGTTTCTGCTTCCCTCCGACGAGCATGGTAGGAGTGTTTCTTCAGCACTTGGAGGAGTGTCGCGCAAAGGCGCTTGTGATCGTCCCAGATCGGAAGCAGTACTGGTTTCCACGGATAGCGGACGCGGCTACGCGATCACGGACGTTGTCGATCGGTAGCGGGGGTGAGTCACCCTTTTTCCGGGTACACCACCAGAAAGGGTCCGAGCGTTTTCATTTCAAACGGTCAGGAATGCTAGCTGTGGTAGTGGATTTCGCCCGGAATGCTAAGTGATGAAGAGTTCGTTCGGCTCGTTCTCAACGTGTCTCCTGTTCATGTTCGGTGGTTTGTGGGACAACGCATTCTTTACCAGGCTCTCCAGGCTGTGTTCACAGCCCTTGGCCTCATCGTGAGCATCTTAGAGGCGATAATTCCCAAGCGAGATCGTCTCGGCGAGGCGAAGCTTCCTCCTCCGCCGCTCGTGAAGGTGTCAGCATCGCGGGCACGGGTCTTATGCCCGGAGTGCCACAGTGAAAACGATGATTCGTTTCGGTTCTGTCAATGGTGCGGGTACTCAATAGCCCAGCACCAACCTCGGACAACACCTCCTCTTCAAGTGGACGAAGAGGCTATTTCAAGGCGATACCAACAATTTCTAAATGCATGGGCGGAGAAAGCTTCCGCGCGCAGTCGGTCGGCCACATGGGCTTTGTTCAGCAACTTCCTAGCATCTCGAAGGAACGGGTCTGTGTCTATTGAAAATGCACAACCAAAGGATGTGGTAGAGTTCCTGTGCTGGTTAGACTCCTGCGGTTCAAGACGGCGTACAATCGTGCATGCTAAACACTGCGAAGCCGTGGGCACCAAAGATCTTACAGCTTGTTCAACAGACAAGGGAGAATGTAGCCTTAGATACGCCTTTGACTCTCTCCGAACAAATCATGTCTCCAAGTTATCCATGGTGTTCGAGAAGGAAATGGGAGTGGTGACACCGTGGAGCAAGACCATGCGGGTTGGTAACCCGGTGAAAAGCGAGCTAGTTGCGCAATATATGGCGTTCACCACAAGTGAGCAAAAGCAGGCGGGAGTATTGGTGAAACAAGCACCGGTCATTCTTCGAAGCCATCTGGAGAAGATTATTTTTCCAATGCAGATCAGGCTTCAATACGCCTCATCCGACGTCGAACGGGTTACGTTGGCTAGGGACATTGCGTTCTTTTCGGTGGCTTTTAGCACAACCAAGAGAGGAGTGGAGCTCACAAATATCCTCATCCAACGTATTTTGCGACTCCCAAATCGAAGCGGCCTCATGTGCAATTTTCAGTGGGGAAAAACCCAACGGGATGGAGCGGATCATATCCTGACCGTACCGTATGATGAGGAATACGTGGCAATCTGCCCAGTTCGAGCGGTAGAGAGGTTTATAGCCGTGGGGAAGCAGGTCGGATGGGACACTACCTCAGGTTACCTTTTCCCAGACATTTCGGAGTCTATGCAAGGTGAAGCGCAGAGAGGCAAGTTGCCGGTGGCTACTAGCAGGATGTCTGAAGCACTAAAGAGATACGCCGCGGCAGTAGGAGAGACCCAAGGGTTCTCTCTACACTCCTTTAGGTCAGGAGGGGCGGTTTCCAGAGCCCTCGCAGGAGATTCTCTATCGACAATCATGCAGAAGGCATATTGGAAAAGTCCAAAGACTGCTTGGCGATACATGCGACTCATGGAAGTAGTGGCTCCAGGATCCGAGGGTACCGCCATGGTCGAGGGAGTTTCAGAGGAACAATACAGGCAGTTGAATGAGTTCGGTTTGAGTGAACAGAGCCGATCGTTGTCAGCGTTTAGCAATAAGCCTTTGCTTTAGGTGGTCTCGTTTGTTTATTTAAATGGTCTTATTTCAGCCATGGTCTCTCCTCAATGCCTCCACATTCATCTGTTTTCTATCAGTAAAGTATGGGATGAGAAAACTCATCTTGTTCGAGTGAGTTTCCTAAGTAAGGGAGAGAAGTGGATACACCGACCGCGGGAGGTGATGCCACTGTTTACATCCCATACTATCTGAGGAGAAGAACTGACTCGAAAATACGACAAGATGAATGTTGAACAACATCATCACTTGCACATGAGCAACGTTACAATGCCAAGCCGGTCGCCCCGGTGGTCTAGTTGGTATCCATCAGTATTTTCGAGTCAGTTCTTCTCCTCAGATAGTATGGGATGTAAACAGTGGCATCACCTCCCGCAGGGGTTGGTGTTGCCACTTCGTAGCGAATGGAAAGAAATAAATATGGCTATGGGAAACAATCCTGTTTCCTGTCAAGCAGTAATAATACAGCGATCTATATTTATTTCTTTCCCATCCGCGACGATTGTATTTTCCGGAGAAAAAATTGACTGAAAATAGAAATAGAGAAATTCGAGAAAGATTCCAATAATCGTTGGGTGGGTGGGTGGTGTCTCAAAAAGGAGACTCTCCTTTCCTCTGTTTTCCTGTCTTGCACAGGTTTGACAAAAGGAAGTGAGAGTGTGTTCTTCCTCCTCCTTTGTTCTGGATCTTTACGTCTGGAGAATTCTTAAATCGTGCCTCTTTCTTCATTTCCTGTTTTGAGAATCCAAATAATTCCGAAACGTATTCATGCAAAAAGAAAACGGCGTTGGCTGCTGCTGTGATATCTCGCACCCGGATCGAATCTGGTACATGCAATAATACAACAGGCGCTTTATAGTGCGGGATATTGCATTTTGGCGGCGAATCCGTGGACCCTCTTTTCCGTACGCACTTGCTTCGTCCCGAATGGGAAGTTCCGTGGAGGTTGGATCGCCTGCATCACCCCGCCCCGCGCCCCTCCCTCGTCCCTGGCGATGTAGTTTTTTGCCTGCCGGGCTTGATCGGAGACAAAAGTTTAGAGCTACAGCAGCCGCATCAGGACAAGTTTTCTGAGTAATAGGGGTCAGGATCCACCATTTGTTGGTGTTGGCGTGTGTGTCTGGAGATTACAGCTGTTATGACGAGCTTAAGTAAATATAAGTCTGGGTGGCCGGCCCGCGGGCCTTCATCCCACAAGTTGAGGGGTTTCTTTTACTTGTTGAACCACAAAAGAAAGCTGCGTGTCCGCTGGTGGTGTCGGGGTTATTTATGATTATAATGAATACCTGATGTATAGTGTTGTGTAAACCCGAGAGAGAGAGAGAGAGCTTCCCGCACACACAAAATTGCGGGTTCTTGTACAAGTACATGTGTCCAGGACCACGTCTACCAGTCATGAGAATACACGTGCACGCACGTACACCGTGGCAGTACACAATTTAGGCTGTTGGGTTGCCTTTTGTCTCTATTTCGGACGCATACAACAACAACACCCCCCACCCCCCGCACCGAGGGCGTTGAGCGAGACCAGAGTGAAAGGAATGGAGTATCTGTGACTGGTTGGTCCCGTTCGCCAATAAACCTCGACCGCGAATGCTTCCTTCCCTGGTTTCTCTGTAGGAGGGCGCGAGGGAAGATAGGCTGGTCACTTCATTCAGTCAGCGACGCACCCGTGAACGAGCTAGGTAACGCTATACCGTGTTGCTTGAGATTTAGCGTCTTCCGAGGGGGAGTTTTCGAGCCCATTTCCTTCTCTTGATTTGAGCAAAAGCCCAGAGACAACACGCGTGCCTGACGGAGCCATAGGCGAGGGCAGCGCCTTCTTTGTTGGGCGTCCTCTGGTCCTGTTGTGTACCATGTACTGTTTTCGTGCCCCCCAGTATCGTCATCGTTCTCGACCGCCGGCACCAACCTTGCAACGGGATGCCACCATTTCACCATGATCCATGACGCTACTGGTGTACCAGAAGCGAGGCTCTGCTGCCTACAACATAGGTCTTCGATCTGTGCGTGTGCGCCTCGGGTTCTCCGGGGCAAGACCGGAGGTAGCAATCCCCAGTGTCTAGAAAGCGGCGAGGGGCGGGGAGGGGGCCCGAAGCTCGCGCCCCTCCCAAACGACCATGACATCCATGGCCTACACCAAGCGCAACCTTGACTCTTGAAGCGAACCATTCTCTCTCTCTCTCTCTCTCTCTCTCTCTCTCTCTCTCTCTCTCTCTCTCTCTCTCTCTCTCTCTCTCTCTCTCTCTCTCTCTCTCTCTCTCTCTCTCTCTCTCTCTCTCTCTCTCCCTCTCCCTCCCTTCGCCCCCAATTCATTCACCATCTGCTTCAGTCTCCAAAATCTCACACTGACACACACCCTCGTCTCAAAGTGAGCCGTCAGCACTACACTTTCTACTCGAATTGCAAGGTACCTCCAAACATTCTTTCAACTCGCAGCAAAACGCTCGAAACTATCGACGGGCACCACCAACAGGTCAGGTGAGCGATCACCGGAAGTACTGCGGGCACTTCGCCTTGGAGGATTCCCATGCCTGGTCGAACGCATCCACGAGCTCCTTCGTCGGTTGATTGATGTTTCACCATCGCCCCCGTTCCCGCCGGAGACGGGATTAGTTGTACCCATTCACCGCGAAGAACGGAAAGAAACAGGGCGAGAAGCGATGATGAGCGGATTCTTGGCGGCGGCGGCGGCGGCGGGTGGACCGCAACAACGGAGGTCGGTGTCAAAATGAACAAATTGCTCGCGTTCATGCAAAATCCATGTTTGGGGGGAGGGGACGGGGGATGACATATTGCGTTAGGGTTGGCATCCACACACCATCAGCAACGGTTCTGTATCAACATAGTTCAATGGAAAATGAAGAGAACACGTGCATTGCAGTGAAACGTGTGCTAGGGCAAATCGGCTCCGTAAGGACGGAGTCATCACGGACACATCAAATTGGTACACCACAAGCACTCTAAGGCCCCCGTACTCTGTCTTGTTTCAACCCCAACTCACCCCAAGACCCCTCGGTCTCACTGGTTTTCCATATTCCATATTCCATATCCACGGTAAAGTTTACGGCCAAAACGAGGAAAGGCGGCACTCAAAAGCTAAGGTTTCCCTGTGGCGGTGCAGGTGAGGTGGAATATAGCTCGGGCCATGTCCCAGACAACATGAACAGGCTTACTGTCAAAATGTGAGAGGCTGTAATACACCCGGCGGGGAGGCCAGGTTCGTTACCCAAATCCGCCGTAAGAAACAGCTTCCGTGGGGGGGGAGGGGGAGGGGAGGGGGGGGGGGGTACTCATGTCAACGCATGCCGGGTCATTAGACCACTGACCACGCATCCCTGCAATGCCGAGACGGAGCGAGGCGGGGGGGTTATCGGTCTCAGTTTCACCCGGAGGGGATATCGCAAAAACAAAATACGGTGCCTCTTCAGAGCGGAAACTAGCTGCCCGGGGGGAGCACGGCAAAATCAGCTGTAAATCTCCCTTGTCCCTTCCTCCCTCCGCTCTTTCCTTCATTACTTACCTGCGGCAGAGGGGTTTCATCGGCGCAAGCGTCGACGTTCGCCTTCACCTGCTCCACGCTTGAGCCGCACACGATCACAGCGTCGCCTTGGCTTCCTTCAACCAATCAACGATTGGCGTTTCAGAGAGAACACAGAGGTAGAGAGAGGGAAATAGAGGGAGAGCGAGAGACAGAGAGAAAGAGAAAGAGAGAGAACGAGAGAGAACGAGAGAGAACGAGAGAGAGAGAGAGAGAGAGAGAGAGAGAGAGAGAGAGAGAGAGAGAGAGAGAGAGAGAGAGAGAGAGAGAGAGCGAGAGAGAGAGAGAAAGAGAGAGAGAGAGAGAGGGAGAGAGAGAAAGAGAGAGGGAGAGAGAGAGAGAGAGAGGGAGAGGGAGGGAGAGCGAGTGCAGGGGTAGTGCACAGAAAAGAGAGAAGCGTATGTGACACAGCATGCTGTACCACCGCGCAAGTCGAGAAACGCCTGAGCAGCTAAAACAAACTAAATACTCTCTCTTTGAAAGAGTCGGCGAGTCTCCTCCCGATCCACAGCATGGCGGCCTCTCTTAGTACACCTACTCTGCAGTTGGTTATCTTGAGAAAACGCACGTCCCGGGTCTCACAAAAAAAAATCCCAAAATCTAGAACATTCAAACGAGGTACCAAGGGAAAATGTGCTCTCTAGATGGTACATACCAAGGAAAGTATCACACACACACCCTACGGCAGGAAAGAGAGAGCAGAACGGCGTGCTCCCCCACCATCAACGACCATTCCCACAAATAGACCTGGATAATATTCCAAGATCTGGGGCGAACGCACCGTCCAAGCAGGAGTGATGGCGCAACCATCGCAGTGAGGCCGACACCGGGGTGGTCTCGTGCTTCCGGCACAGGGCCTTGATCGACTCCAGCGCCTCGAACGTGGGCTTGTGCCAGAAGCGGTCCCTGGTAACAGGGAGTGGGCGCGTGCGTGAGCGAGCAAGTGAGTTGCAAAAGAGCAGCGTGAACAAGCGGGGGGCGTGGCTCTGGTGTTGAGAGAGAGAAAGAGAGACACGACAAGCAGGTTCCGTGTATGGTTCGGCTGACGGTTGGGGTGAGAGGCACGGTGTCAGAAACGCGCCAATTCCGTGACATCGACCGTATGGACATGATGTCTGCCGCATCGGCGTGCCCCCCAAAAGCAGCATGACGACTGAAGAGCGACATGCACAAGAGGGAAATCTTCGTCTAGCTCAGTTTGAGCTTTGCTCAGGAGGCCTGGTCGTCAGTGTACAAAGCCTGGTATTAAGTAGTAGATTGGTGGCAAGGGAAGAAGGTTCTTGCTGCTACACTCATCTTGTGCTCGCGAGAAAGCTTTGAAGTCGTGTGCCGCGGACACGGGGGGTGGGTGGGGGTTGAGAGGGGCGAGGCGTTCTGCGGGGGGCCCGCTGCATCTCAGCCGCCGGAGGAGATCGAGAGGCAGGGCTCGGGGCTGTAACGAAACAAACGACTCGCTGTGAAAAGGGAAAAGCGTTAACAACACATCGACAAAACAACAACAACAACAAATCTCGAGGAGAAAGGTCCATCTCTAGAATTGGCCAATCGATTATTGAGAACAACGTAAGGAGAACAAGCTTGAGTTCTTAATCACATCAAAGCATTACATCATTTTTAGAGTCATTAGGAATTTGGGGCAGTAGATGTACGCCACACCCCGCCAGATTTGACGGATATGCTGTAAAGCATTTCGTGAGAGACAACATCCAAGTCGATTTGTCCATAAACGATGAGAGAAACCACAAGAGGAACAACGCCTACTTTCTCCTCGCCTGTAACGCCCGCCCCACACAGTCTTGCTGCTGAACCTTCCCCCCTCCGGGGGGCTGTCGAAGCTGTGCTTCCCCGTCAAAATCCCGCCCGCCTGATTCCCCCGAGAGTGACACCAAGAGACAAAAAAAAAAACAGCGAAAAGGGTGCTTGGGCAGCGCGGCGGATGGTTGTAGGCGTGTGACACTCTGCCTTGCTGTGATGATGAATGTGGGTCTGTCCGCTGCTGCTATGGGTGTTCCTGGGAAACATACCCCTTCGTACACTGCTGTGGTGTTGTTGTTGGGCAGGGTGGAACGAATCGAACGTCGAGCACGAGGGCTCTCGGAGAGGCGGCACGTCACAAAAAGTCATCACCTGGGTGATCTCTCAGCGTGCGTTTGCGTATTGGCCCGTACATGTCGTATGGGCTTACGATCAGGCATATGCAATGTGAAAGCCAATCACCATCCATTGCCAACACCCTCGCCGCGAAAAACACGCAAGACATGAATGACAGAAGGGGGAGCGGGGGGTCACGGAAAAGAATATTTCATCCCCAGCCCCTAGCAGACAGAGTACCAGATTGAAGAAGAGAGGCCACGCTGTCGTGTTATACGGCAGGCATGAGCAATAAACGACAATGACGACGACGAAGACCAAAAAACAGCAACAACAACGGCATCACCATCACCAACAACAACAACAACAACAACAACAACAACAACAACAACATTAGCGCGCAAACACTGCCACTAGCAGGCGCAAAACCCCTGCCGCCGTACACCCGTCCGTGCGTTGGCCCCCTGCTTGCCGCAACCACAGCCCTTTCCCGCCATGGAAGGGGTGAGTAGGCGGGAAATCCTCACTACTTCTGGCGACATTGTTGTGTCCGTTCGTGTCTCGACGTGTACCTTTCGTCGCCCTCCCCGCTGCCCACGTGTACCTTATCTGGGGAATAATTGTGGTGGCCACCCGAGATTCAGTTTCTGTTTTGTTTTGCTCCTCCGAGAGAAGGTAAGAACCAAGTACCGGAACACTAGGAGGTCAGAACGACTTCAAAAGCGTGTGAAGTAAGGCAAAAGAAGCAATCACCAGGGGGTTGTAGGCGTAGAACCGCATCCCGAGCTTCTTGAGGGCGGGCAGCAGCTCCCGCTCTACCTCCCTCGTGACCGCGTTGTACATGCCCTGGTACACCGCTGGGGTCTGCCAACCGTTCGCCCTGGTGTAGCGCCGCAACAGGCACCGGGGGGGAGGGCGCACTCATGTTTCGCATGCCATAGCGGCAAGACCATTGAACACGCGTCCTCAAGAGGACGGAGCATTACATGCCCCGGTGCACCGCAGGAGTCTGCCAACCACTCGCCCTGGTGTAGCGTCGCAACAGGCACCGACCGGAGCTGGAGGAGGCGCACTCATCGTTTTTTGGGTTTTCAAATCTCGTCCATTCCTTGTTCTGGAGGGATGGAGGGGCCGTTGCCATTTCATGTTCTTATTTGTTGTCTCATTTGTTGTGGGCGTCAGTCTCGGCACACCTTTCGATTGTACCTGCTGGACGCATCAATCGGGGTCACACAGGACTTCCACTCACTTGCAGATGTGCCACATGTCCACCGCCTGCCACGCCGCGTAGTTGGACAGTCCCCACTCACGAAAAAGTCCCTCCGATCTCAGCTGGGAACGGGGCGGGGGCGGGGGGGGGCGGGGGGGGGCGGGGGTAGTCCGGCCAGTATGCTACTTTGGGTAAAAAAACTGTAACGGATGAAGCCGCGCATGTGAGCGGGGGGGGTAGTCCGGCCAGTATACTACACTGGGTCAAACAACTATGACGGACGAAGCCGCGCATGTGAGCGGGGGGGGTAGTCCGGCCAGTATACTACTTTGGGTAAAAAAACTGTAACGGATGAAGCCGCGCATGTGAGCGGGGGGGGGTAGTCCGGCCAGTATACTACACTGGGTCAAACAACTATAACGGACGAAGCCGCACATACGACCCGCCTTGACAGTCAACCATGTGGTGAGTTTTTCATGCGCAGCAACGATTTATCTTCGGCAGCTGTAAAAACCTTGTACAGGGTGTGAAACAATGTTTGCGAGCAATGGCTACGGGGAGGTTATGTATCGTGAAGCAAGACAGCCAGGGGGTTTCATCCGCCGTTCTGCCACCAGCAGCGGCCCGTGGCACATAGCTGCACGCAAATGTGTTCTGAAGCAATAGTGGGGGTACTAAGAGGCTAGAAACATCAGCCCAAGAATTGTGAGATTACCTCGAACCTAGAAGCAACGAACCTGTTCCCTCCCTTCAATTATTTTTTTTTATCCATTTCAATGTAGCATGGGGGTACTCAGCACTCGATACTGATCTACAGAGATCTCACCCACCAATTTGTTACAGGCCGGAACAGCGGAGCCCCCCGTCTCACCTCGTGCACGGCCCGCAGTGTCTCCTCGAGGGGGGTCTCGTGGTCTGGAGCATGGAGGTAGAAGAGGTCCACTGATTCCAGCCTTGATGCCACGTTGACGTCCATGGGGGGGAGGCCGGGAGGGTGAAGAACATTGTCGATTTGTTTATGGTGGTATCCGCGGCTAGGCCATTTTTAATATTGCACCTTGGTCTGGGCCAGGAAAGTTCCAATAAAACGTGGTCCTTACGAAACACCTAGACCTCCGACCTTACCACAACGCGTCTCAGGGACTATCTATCTCCATAGTGTGGAGGCGGTGGCGGGTTGTGAAAAAAATGGCCGCGATGCTCCGTACGTAGAAGGTGCTTTCGAGCGTAGCATCGGGAGAGGGAATGGAGAGACGGCAGTTCCACAAGCTTACCGCAAGGCGTTAGGCAACGATAATATACGTATCTGCGCTTTCGAGCCGACCGGGGGCTCGAGGAACAGAGGAAATGGGGGGATCTCCAAACCCAGCGAACTACACATCTGTCCTTGTACCACTTTTTTTTCTCCTACGCATCCGTCCTTGTACCACTGGATAGATAGACAGGAGAACGGTTTCTCGATGAGCACCACCACCAACGCCCAACAGCAGCAGTAGTTCCAATACGGCAAACACACACACCAACACGGAATGAAGGCCGAGTGGAGCACCTGAGACTCGAGAGAGACGCCCGAAGCTGCTCCTTGACGGACGCGGCGTTGAGTCCTCCCACGGGGTCGTCGAAAGTCTTCCCGTCCTTGTACCACGGGTTCGCCTTCGCCGCCACCCGGAAACTCTCCATCCCCGCTTCGCCTTGTTTTCGGCGGCAAAACGAAAAATTGTGGTAAAGCAGGCGTGGGGTCGATGTAAGAGGGTGCGACAAAGACCCTCGACCTTCTTGGGGAGTATGTAAGAGGGTGGTGCGACAAAGACCCTCGACCTTCTTAGGGAGTATGTAAGAGAGTGGTGTGACGAAGACCCTCGACCCTCTTAGGGAGTATGTAAGAGGGTGGTGTGACAAAGACCCCCAACCCTCTTGAGGGAGTACATCGGCGCCCTCTCTTATACCGGAATATGAGGGTACCCACAGCTGAAAACTTACCGCGGCTCGAGTCCGCGACAACCAATTTCGACCCTCTACAACGTCGGAGACCCCTCTGTTAAGGTACCGTCTCATGTCGGAGACACGACTTTGGCATTTTTTGTCAAAAATGCAAGAAACACCCCCACGACCTAATGTTGTCACGGGCGAGCGCTGATTTCAAGTGATAGAAAAAGGCCAAGCATGCGTATGGGATGTATTTCTGTGGGGTTGATAAGACTGCACATTCACTCATGCTGCGGGATGGATGTAAAACAAAGCGACAGAGCTGTGGAGATCACCTTCATAACGGCTACAATCTCCCAACGTCTGCCTAGGACGATTCCCTCTCTTCACAAAGTCACCCAAAGAGAAGAGAAAACACACAGACGCCAACAAAACACTATCACCGTCCAACCCAACAAAAAAACTCGAGAGCAGATACTTCGGGTTTCTTCCTCTGAGTCCAGACACGAAAGGCGTCCGTGTCAGTCGGACCGGGACAAATGCCAGGAAATACTGAGAAACAACAACAACAACAACAACAACAGCAACAACAACAACGCAACAACGCCAACGCCAACGCCAACGACGACGACGACGACGACGACGACGACGACGACGACGACGACGACAACACACCTAGCGTCGCCTCTGACTTCCCCCCCTGGTACATGATCGCCGTGTCGATCTGGTCGAAGCCGCGGGCAGCGAAGTAGTCGAGGGCCTCTCGCGTAGCCTCCGCGTCGAGCGGCGCAGGGATCGACATGGTGCCCAGGACGGTTGCGACGCGGGTTGCTGTTGCTGCTGTTGCGTCATGAGCCACAGCAGAAACATGGAAGAACTGGTTGTAGGGTGGGGCAAGAGAGCAGGAGCTGCTGTGTTGTACGAGAGCACACATCGTGCAACAAGCAGCTTCTCTTTGCTGTGTCCGTCGCAGCTCTACCCAGTCGACCAGAGTCGTACATGGACTACCTTTGTAGCCAAGGGGCGCGTTTTCTCGTTATCCTGCTACAGTTTTTTCGGCAAAGCAGCAGAGATGTGTGGGGTGCGATGGGCGCGTTAGGCAGTTCTTCGGCAAACCGTCTCGTAGAAGGCGGACCGTTAGTGGTATCGGCCAACACGATGGCGCTACATTGTGTCGAACCTTCTTCCAACACAACACAACAACAAGGTTAAAGGTTCTCTCACACGCGGAGTGGTTGGCCATTTTCCGCACGACTCCACCGCGAGCTGCAGCAGCAGCAGCAGCAGCATTTGTGGCGGCCATTCTTAAAGCAGACGCCGTGGTGCCTGCTTATAGTCGAGGGCAAGAAAAGGGAGGGAGAAGGCAGACAGCGAGAACGAAAAAAAACAACAAGAACAAGAACAAGAACAACAAGAAAAGAACAAAAACAAGAACAACAAGATGGAGTAGAAGGAAGAACACCGGGAGGAATGGGGAGGAATGGGGAGGTTAGGTTTCGTGGGTCGGTCGTACATCGTACGCACACACAGCAAACACCCGCGGACGAACCTTGGCGTCCTTTGAGAGAGCAACAATCTCTGCTTTGTGTCGTTGTCAACAAGACGATGGCTGTGGTATCGGGAGACCGCAGGCCATCCAAAACGTGATTTGGCCCTAGCGGCGTGCCTAGGTCTCGGAGCAACGCTTCGAACGACCAACAGAGTTCTTGCTCTCTACCATATACATATGGTATACAATAGAGGGACATAGACAAGGTGTGGGCCTTCCGACTGTCGCGACCGAAATGAGAACAACATTCTCGTACAGGTCTTGATATACACCGCGGTGTTGTTGTTGTTGTTGTTGTTGTTGTCTTCACAGTATAAACTTCTCCGATCTCACTACCCAGTGCCTTCATCTGCCCGTCCTGATCAAGCACTTGACCGGTCGATTCCCGTGGTCACAGGCTAACTTACCCTACAAAAGCTAATTACAGTAAGTTGGACACGTGTCAGGGAAAAACAACTGCGCGGTCATATGTATCGGGACACCGCACTATTGAGTGTTGGGAAATATATAGCGTTTAGTATGCTAGACAAATCCCGTGACAAGCGAATTCTTACCCCGGTATTTCTATACCCACCCGCACTACACGGACCGCGGTATGTACATCGGGAATACCAATACTGCATGGATAAGCATACACATCGCGATAGTAGAAAACACCATCGTCTAACGTGGAATCTTGCAGCCAGCGGATGAGACTCTCAAACCATCATGATTGGAATCGAATCCTCGGTACGTCAGCAAGAGCGTAATTGAAAGGGTGGGTGGACACGCAAAAAGATGAAAATATTGCACACATCTGCCTAAAACAAAACCTTGTAGGCCGTTGTTGTTGTTGTTGTTGTTGTTGTTGTTGTTACCGTCCCTTTTCAAAAACGCGCTGTTCGATATACCATATATAACAGAGTATAACCCGTAGGTGTGTACAACGATCCGATTATGAATCAACCTACCGAAGACTATTCCGGTAATTAATACTCCTTAGGTGAATACATACGTACTGTTGTTTACAGCAGTACTAATGACTGAATTTGAGTATTCCAACAATGACGAGATCCCTACAGATCGTGCTAACTCGGTCCTAGGGTGTGTTCACCTGTGGTTGGTGCCGGTAGCTCCATAGGGTAGGCAATATGTAATAGATGATCTGTCCTGTGCTTGCTCCATGGTCATGAAGGACGTACGTGATCTGTGTATGTTTGTGTTTGCCCGACGTGATCTGAAAGGACACAGGTGCTTGGGCTGTGTTTGCCCGAATTGATCTGAAAGAATCGGTGATTGGGCTACGTTTGCCCGAGTTGATCTGAAGGACATAAGTGGTTGGGCCATGTTGGCCCGAGTTGATCCGAAACGCGCAGATGTCTACCCCGAGTTGATCTGAAAGACATCGCCGATTGGGCTAGGTTTGCTCGAGTTATCTGAAAGACGCGGTGATTGGGCTATGCTGTCCCGAGTTTTATCCCGAGTTCGTCTGAAAGACATCGGTGATTGGGCCCTTTTCGCCGAAGTGTGACTGAAAAGTATCGGTAATTGGGCCATGTTTGCCCGAGTGGATCTGGAAGAATCGGTATGTGGGCTGTGTTTACCCGAGTTGATCCCAAAAGCATCGGTGATTTGCTACTGCTGTTGATCTGAGAGACATGATTGTAAATAGTGATCGGGGAATGCCCTGTTGTTGGTCATCTGAAGGAAATAGGTGACCGGGGCATGTTTGCTCCATCATGGTGATCTGTAAGGCATAGGTGGGCTAGCTCATGATCTGTCCCATGCGTGAAGATTAAGATTGCACTCGCGATTGCACGCACGAGCGGGGATGAGGGTCTACCAAAACCCCAGCAGCAACAGCGGCAGCATCTACTTGCACGTGAAGACATCCACAAACTCTTGAAGCTTACGAATGCATGATACGTTGCACGGACTTCGAGCACATAATGTTTTCTCCCCAGCGGCCAGCAACACCACGTCGAAACGCGATAAGCACACATCGCGAACGGTTGGGATGGTAGACTACTACTATGTAGCTCTGTTGTTGAACATGATGCGGCAATGCGGCGATGCGGCGGGTTTTGTGTCTTGGAACAACGGTAACGAATCTCGCTCTTGCTTGAAAATGCCCATCCAAACTCACTCGAAGCCACAATTAAGACAGCCAGTGTCCCGATCCTCCCGGTGCTCGCAGAGAGCAGTCTCCTGGAGGCAAGAGATACCATGCGACTCCCAACGCCTGGGGTCGGTGCTGCCTGCTGTGCTGTTGGTGCACCAGCATCCAGGCGGCCCCGTGCTGGTGTATCCCATATTTTCAGCGCTATATTCTGCGGAGACCCTGAAGGGGCGGTGGGTCATATCGTCATATCGTCATATCGTACATACTGCTGCAGGTGTGCTAGGCAACTACATATTGGCACGCTCGGACCAAACTACGTTGTTGTCGCTGCTGTCAAGGAACCATGCCTCCAGGTAAGCTCCCGATGGCGACGTTGTCCTGACCGTGACGTGCCTGGGTTATTTTCCGCGTGCCTGCCACACGGGACGATGCGTTGCTTCGGCGATCCCGTCTCTCACTACATATGTATTGTTAGTGCTGTCTCCTGTCTCTATTTTGCGACCTTTCGCCCCTGCTCCCTGTTGAACGAACATCCTATACCCCGGTTGCAGGCAACATCCACGAGTTGCTCCCCCTACGCGTTTTACTATCCACGGCTCGACTCATCTCCACCCACCCCCAGACGCGATGGAATGCCCCCAGTATCTCGGGTGTACACGTGTTCCTGCTAACTGGTGTGTTCTCGTTTCATATGCATACTTAGACAATACACCGCCCCAGGTAGCTTTGCATCATCAGGTACTGCTCTGCTGTGTATGGGTAAGATGCCTGCCCTGTGGCCAATTTTCAAAGCTCGATTACTCCACGACAACGGGGACGAACAAATCAAACGATCAATGCATGCGTTGTCGACAAACTCTCGTCACCGTCATCACTGGCAGCGTCGTTGCTGCTTGTAACACAGCAGTAACTCGAGCTTTGAAAATCGGTTCCAGGGGAGGTGGTATCTTCAGCAACCGTGGTACCTCTAGGTAGGTATGCATAGGAAAGTTTTTGGTGTGTCCTGAGTCCTGAATACTGAACACGGCACTCGTATGCATAGATAGCGCACTGCTGTGCCCTCGCAAGCATCCTTTGCTGCTGCGGACACACTCTGGTACACCTGGCATTATGGGTCATTTTTCCCTTTTCGTGAACGGATATCGCAAACTGTAAATTTCGCGCGCTTCCGGGGCCTTGAGGTCGTTTTGGTGGGCGGATGTAAACCTCACGTCTTGTCGGCTTGTCGGAGATCAATCAACTATACTAAATACCAGGGTGTGTGACTGAAGTACAGCAGTCCCGTTTACTTGGTCTGCAGAGAGGAAAAATAGCAAATGCACAAAAGAGTCTTCTCCTCGTCTCTGTGTTATCCTTCCGCAATGATTATTTGTTGTCTGTGTACCGTAAGGTTGCGAGTCAGCGCACAGGGGTGCCATCGATTTTCGAAGCGTAATTATAATTTCTCCACAACCAGGAGGGTGCGAGCGCCAGGTGACACTTCTCAGGAAAGCTCTCTATGAGATAGTTCCAAGACCGCTCTTTTCGACAGCAGTGGTATTCTAACCTCCTGGTTGTGGAGAAATTACGCTTTTGAAAATCGTTCGCACCCCTGTGCGCTGACTCGCAACCTTTCGGTGCATAGCCTACGCGAGAGTGTGCAACACACGCGAACTTTTGGAGCACTTTTTCCAAGAGCCAGTTCTCGAGGAGAGGCTGGGAAAAAATTAAAAATTCGGATTAACTCAGTATGTAACGGGGATATGTAGGTGTATCGGAATTCGCCTTGGAAGCATCTTGCATTTTCTCCGCTACTAGCTGATTGGTCGCTGCATGAAGGTATCGTACATCGTACACAACAAGTGCTTATCGACGCCTTATGTTAGTAGTGTAACGTGCTGCTGCTGCTGCTGTCGATTTCGATACGCACGTGTGGGCTTTTGACAGCTGCGGACAAGCGGTAGCGTGTGTGCGCGCGTTCAGAGTTATCATTGGTCTTGTACAAGGGCGCCAGAAAATAACCGTTCGATGTCGTCCGTCATTCGTATATACCGCGAGCAACAAACGGGCGCGCGCGCGTGCGCGTGTTCGCGCGATTGGTTGCAGAAGGCGAGACTTTCGAGCACAACACGCTTGCACACAGGGAAAACGAATTGTGGTCACGACCAGGCACGGCGTTCGAAGAAACACTTAACAGCACCTACCCGGATCAGCCTTGCGCCAGCAGCGAAGTCGCGCCGTTGCATCTGTTTTTTTTCGAAGAGATTTTCGCGGGCAGTGCCCCCCACGTTGAGGCGTGTGCTCCGTCTGCCCCGAAGCCAAACAAAAAGCCGGACGCGAACGATGCCGACACGGCGGTAACATGATTCCGCCGGGAAAAACTTGAGGCAGAGCGGCTACCCTACTGTACGATACCGCAGGCACAGGATGCGAGGTCAATGGTCTAACGACCACGGCATGCGTTTTCATGAATACCCAGCCCCCCTTAGCCCTGCCGTAGGTTGCATAAGATACCACACACCCTGGTCCGATTTTCAAAGCTCGGTTACTCGGCGGGCAAAAGGCAGTGACGGTGCCGCAAAGGGCGGCGTTGGAACCGTCTCGTCTAGAGCTTTCCGACAAATGTATCCTTTGATCTCAGCATCTTGCTCCGTCGTGAAGTACTCAAGCTTTGAAAATCGTCCCAGGGGGTGTGGGTTCTTGTGCAATCTACCGTACCCCACCTGGGCGGGAGGATTTTAGGTGAGCTGGTGTGGGTGGAAACGCGGGAGACATCCCCTCGGTATGAATCGTATATGACACAAGATAACACACCCCCTGGACCAATTTTCAAAGCTCGATTACGCCGTGTCGAAGAGGATATATAAATGAAACAATACATTTTCGGAAAGCTCTCGACGAGACAGCTTCAACGCTACCGTTCTCGGCGCTGTGACTCTTTCTGTTGTTGAGAAATCGAGATTTGAAAAATCGGTCCAGGGGGTGTGTTATCTTGTGTCATTTACGGTATAACCCTTCATTCAACAGACAGGCAGGCCTCCGACGTTTCGGAGAAGACTTCTTTTCGAAATTTACGCATTATTTCCCCTTTCCAACCCCCCCCTCCCCCCGCACACACCAGCAGGTGGCAGCAGGTCGCGATCATGGCGGCAGGTGAAGGCGAACGCTTTGCCCCCGGGGGTGTCGGTGGGGGACCAAGTGCCGGGTCCCCGAAGCGGAGCGGCGTCAGTCGTCGTGGGAAACAAGGTGAGCCTTGGTGTATTTTGGTGCTGCTGCTGCTGCTGCTGCTGCGGCTGTGGCTGCTGTTGCTGCTGCCTTCTTATTGTCGTTGGGGTTGTCAGAGGAGACTATTAACGCAAAGTCTGTGATTCGAGTGAATGACACCTCCTCCCTTGGGGGACCTCCCAAGAGAAGAGACCTGCGTGTTCTGTTTTGCATTTGGGGGGGGAACCTCGAAGCTGCCATCTACCGTAGTGTCCTTCGCGGTCATTGGCTTGTTCGCGTCTGAGGGTAGAGTGCGCTCTCAAGACAAACCGCTGTCTTCTCAATATGTCTGAGGTGTGTTGTAGCTTATCCTGCGTACAACAGGTGGTTCAGTTGGTGACCTCGCAATCTTTGATGTTTGGGGCGTGAGTTCGAATCTCGATTTGTTTTTTTCATCATGCCCAACAACAGGAGATGCTACTGTACCAGGGTATACCGGTAATACTTGTCAGTCGTGGATAAGCGAAAGTCGAGTTGGCGATCGACGAGGGAAAGGAGCGGCTGGCCTGGGCTGAGCTGAAGCGTTCTCTCGCGATTTATCTGTGTGCTTGCTTTGTCCGATGGGGTTACCGTCGTAGGACATTTTTCTCATTTTCCTCCTCCCTCCCTCCCTCCCTCTTTCTATCTTTCTCTCTCTCTCTCTCCCTATCTCTCTCTCTCTCTCCATCTCTCCATCCCTCCATCCCTCCCCTCATGTCTTCCCCCTCACTGTTTTCTGCTGCAGCTATTCATGTTCGGAGGGTACGGAGGCAGCGGGCGATTGGACGATTTCTGGGAGTTCGATTTTGGTGAGGCCGAACCGCAGGGAACCTAGCCGACATCCGGTGGTCCGCCGACCAGTGGTCCGACCTCGGGGTTAGATATTCTCATGTGTGCGTGCGACCCATGAACCACGAATCGGGTGTATTTTTTGTGTTACTTCCAACAAAAGAGTAATTGGGCACCAAGGTACGGGCATATGCTGGCATGGAGGCAGCTGCCGGCAACGGCCTCACTCACTACTGTACCCTGAGGGTGTGTACAGCACAAGGTTGTTTCGGAGAGACACGCTGGAAAAAGTGAAAGGGTTTACTCGGTAGTGTGACCGCCATCGGTTGTGTCGAGAAACAAACACCTTGGGACGTTCGAAACTACCTGGCACTCGAGCGGTATGCCTGCGTTTTTTCGGGAATAGTCGCTCGGCCTAAACCAGTACCCTGACTAGGACGCGTACACGTCGGCTTTGGTGGGTTCCGGATTTCGGTTGGGTCAGCCCGTCTACCGTCTACTATTGGTTGCCCGCGCTCTACCACATTTTTTTACAAGTAGCGCACATTTTTTTTCAGGTGATTTTTTTTTTGTGTTTTTTTTACCTCGGAACCTAGAGGAGGTCCAATGCAATGGATCGTCTTGTGGCTTCTTTTTTTTGCTTCTCCCAAAAAACGAAACACATTTATCTCATTCCAAGATATGTCAGCGAATGGAATCAATGTGTGTTGTTGTTGTTGTTGTTGTTGCTGCTGCTGCTGCTGCTGCTGTTTTAACATTGGTATGCATGCTACGCTGTAAATGTATTTTATGCCAAATACGCTTGTCGTACTTGTATGACACATACAATCGAATCTGCGCTTCTTGTTTTGCTGCAGAAAGTCGAATCTGGAAAGAGGTGCACTGCCAAGGGCCCTCGCCCGGCGTGCGTGAGAACAATGGTGTGGTGGAGTACAAAGGCTCTCTCTACCTGTTTGGGGGATACAACGGGTCGCAATGGCTCAACGACTTCCACGGTTTTCACATCGGTGAGGTTCCTTATTTTTTTTGTTTAGGGTTATGTGTGCATGGGTGGGCTTTCTGTCGTTTTTTTTTTTTTTATGCACGGCGTGGACCTTTTTTCATACACACGTGGAGTTCAGTTCACGTCGGGTGTCTTGTTCTCTCGGCTACAGGGTTAGGGTTACAAGGCCATTTAATCCTATCCCTAACCCTTACAACTTAGACAGGCTGACCTTTCGAGGGGGATGCTTCTAGCCCTCGCCGCCCTTTGCCCCGCCGGCCCAACATTCAGGTGCCCTTTTTGGACTTAGCTCGACAACAAAGCGCGAACTTATGCTATGCGCAGCCCATGCTGGCGGTCTCTTGTCTCTCGGCTTCCGCGCTTGGCCTTTTGGGCGATACATATCATATCATACGGGATTGAGAACCAAAGTTTCGTATTTTTGCTCTCTTCCCGATGTGCGTACGCCCCCCCCCCCCCGCGCG